ACTAAATTTATTGTTCAAATTGTTCGAAATCTACTTTTTGTCAAGAAAGTATCAATAACCATTAGTTTGCGTCTTTTTCTTTGATAAAACAATCAAATCGGGGGTTTAAACGGAAAACGGGGGCGCACACTGCGAAAAGATTTTCCGTAGGCGGGGCTTAACGGGTTGAAAGCCCCGTCGTCTGGCCCCGCCTACGCCGGGGCCATGTGCTGGTACGTGGACTGACTTCGACGGGGACAGAGGACGGGGCTTTCAACCCGTTAAGCCCCTCCTACGGAAAATATTTTCGTAGCGTGCGCCCCGTTTTCTCGTTTCAACTCCCGATTTGATTGTTTTACCAAAGAAGAAGACACAGACTAATAGTAATTGATACTCTCTTGACAAAGAATGGATTTAGAAAAAATTGAACAATAAATTAAGTTCACCATTGGCCCCAGATAGTCCCTGATACCCGGCCTGGCCCCGGGTATTTCGACGGGGCCAAGCGGGGCTAATGTTGGCAGGGATGATTTGAGGTCGTTTTGTACTCTCTAACGCCTTGCAAAATGACAGTTTGTTATATTATCTAAAGGAATACCAATTGAGGCTGCAGCTGGCGTAGGCTAAAACAATTGGCTAAATGATGATAATTATATAAAGAGGGACCGTAAAAATAGCAGAAAATATACAGAAAACAGGATAAATGTGCTCCAAACCTCAAAACCTTATACCTTTTGTTAACAACCCAATAAACAGAAAAAATATTCAATCTCATAACAGAAAAGCAAAAAAGTAGGATCCAAATGAAACACGGATCATCGTTAATTATTAAACTCGTTATAAAAATATGGACCCAAATGTTGTTTGACCATCGAGAAAAAAATTTTTAAAAATTGTAGAATTCATCTTTGAATTCGAATACATTTCTGGAGAATAAATTAGTTTTACCAAATGCACTTATAAATGTTTCAGACGTTATAAAAAATCAAACTTAATCAATGGTCGGAGGGCTATCTGTAAGCAATTACTTTAGAAAAACCCAAGTTTTCCTCAAAAAACTAAGCATTAATACGTTCAATTATACCAAAGTTAAGAGCACAACGCGTAACAAGAGGTATATAAAATGAAACTCCATACTTTCGCGTCTGACGCTTTTGGCGTCCTTTTTATAAAGGGCGTCTTAGTGAACTAATGATTTCAAACAACCATTGTAAGTGTCAGAACCGCACTTTCAGCATTTTACATTGGGGACCAAATGTGTTTAAAAAGCGTGTTTTAAGGAAATCGAAACTTCTGGACATGCATATTTTAAGCGGGATGGCGTTTTAAATACGCCCCTTCTGCATGCTAAAAACGTTGCCTTCAACCGTTTTTTCGTGTAAAATCGGTGGTCGTCGCTTATCTCCATAGGATTCAATCAAAAACGGAAACTAGTTGTAATTGACTGGGTTGAAGAGAAAAGTGAGCAAAGGCGTTATCGGGTCTTGATGGGCGAAAAAGGCGAACAAACTCATAGACCAGCATTGGAACAGTTTCTTGAGCACCCAATTTCTAATACCTGTGGGAACAGTAAATCAAGTAGTAGTTAATAGATTCCAATGATGGAAAATAGAAAATTTAAGGTCACACTAGAGGTAAAAAAACCCTTCATTAAATGTTGCAAAACTCTTTTTGCGCACACTGAAATCAAAGGGAAAAACATGGCACCCCATACATCGAGGCGCCTACGGAAACCCTATAATGGATGCTAAGTTGACGGCTGATAACTTCAATG